TCCCTTCATTCCTAAGTCGACAGTGTTGAAGGAGCTGCGCGCCCGCCAGACCAGTTATCGCCTGCTCCGCTCTCTGCGCGTAGTTATGGGAGGGAGCGTGATCACGTGATTAAAACCAAAAGTGCGGTTGGTTCATCGAACACCTTAGCTTCCTCTTCACTTTCAAACGCACACACAGAGAAAGTGGGATCGCGTGAACCAAGGCCTAATGATAAGGTGGGGACTGGAAGACGGTGGGGACGGTCCCCTCAATGTCCAACACGCGCATCCGCGATCTGCAAAGGGGCAGATGCGCTTCGCACTTTATAACGTTTTTCTTTTTTTCCCGGCAGAGATAGCTCTTTTCAAGAATGGCAAGATAAACATGTTCATATCAGGACACCGTGGTGTCAGTTTCTAAATTGTTTGGGTGCATTTCATTGCTTAGCGGACATTTTTTTTGTCGGGCGAAGCGGCTCGGCATCTCCTTTATCCACGCTACCCTTGCTGGAAAGAGTAAGAACGATGGTTTAATGTCAAGTGCGATCTTCAACATGCGGATTGTCAAGACCTTGGATATTCTCTCGGCAGCGCCTACACACCGGTGATCTTCCTTTTTTGTGGCCAACCATACATGTCACCACTAGCTTCGGCGGACCGAAGACACGACGGACCGCTTTCTTTTCCACGTGAGTGACAATGAGATGATCCTCTCCTTCCTCTTGACCATCGGGGACATGTGTTCTTGCTGCGCAATGTACGCTTTGTTTTGGTCCGATGAGTTTGAACCGTGTCTAACTCTGGGCCGGGAATCTCCGACGAGTCCGCGTGTAGTCCACAGCGATCGGCCCGAAAGGTCCAGTACAGCGTAATTTGGAAGTGCTTTTTATTCTAATAGTCTGTGAGGGGCATTCTGATTGGTTATTTTTGTGTTTGAAGTCATTTTTAGTCCATGTTTTCTGTTAAAATATGGCTGTTTCTTGACGGTAGATGTGTGCTGTAGTAAAGTCCTCCCAGTATGTTCAAAGCCGAATTCCACGGGCCGCTGAGTAGTCCTTCTCTGCCAAGATTCAGCTTGTCGGGTGGTTGTGGACTGTCAGCTATGTCGCCGCGCTATGCGAGTGTGTTTTCCAGTAATCGTCTTTACTCGACAATTTTTTTTTTAATGTGAGTGATTTACTAATTTAAGCATCATGTTCCGCTCAACTGTCATATTTTTTTTGTATAAGAGTAGTTATTGGACTGATAATTTAGTAGTACATTTGACACTGGTGAGCTGAAGGGGAGGCCAGCGGTTTGATTTATAACTTGTAAATAACATGGATGTAATAGGGGTACATTTATAACTTCATATTTCTGCGCCGCAAACACCGCAATTCTTAAAACTGTTTCTTTTTTTCTTTCAAATCAACGTAGAAATATAGGTGTGAACTTAAATGTCGAGATTGCAATAAACATGTCTTAAGGCTAGATGAAGGCTTGAGGGACACTGTGATGTTGCAAGAGTAGGGCTAAGCAATTTATAGATTAACCTTTCTACTATTTGAAGAAAAAAAAAGAGCTCTAAATTCGACCTTGCAATGCATGTGCCTGCCAGTGCATTCAGAGTGGTGCAACCAGTTCATCCGCATGCAATAAAAAACATAGAGCCCACATCTATAGTGCAGCAGCACGATGAAGTGGCACACATGAGCAGCTCGCTGACTATCTAGTAGTGTCGGTTGTGGCAGAGCTTAAGCTCGCCGCGATGCATGTTCTGTTTTGACATGTGGCATATTTATTAGTTATTTTAATACTCGTCAATCTTAATTTGTATGTTCTTGGTTTGGGCTACTTTTAGATTTCTTTTTCGTCTTGTTTTGTTTTGTCTAGAATTCGTGCATTTTAGTAGGTATAATTTTTTTTTTTTTATTATGGTTGAATGGTACTTTTTTGCGAATAAGCACATTGTAGAGCTGTAGTTACAATATTTAATGAATGGCCTCCCCAGCTGTAGTTACAATATTTAATGAATGGCCTCCCCAAACTTAGATGTTACTTGCAATCGCTAGCTTTTTTTCTAAAGTTGTAAAATAAACTATAACATACGGCAGTCAGCACTGAAACCCAATAGGGTGTTCACACTAATTTATCTATAAAAATGTTCCTAACATATCGCATGCCACTTGGACAAATGCAGATGTTAAGAAATTGCATTCATCCCACCCCTCAGATTCTCGTCTATATTGAGCTATGTCTTTCACCGCTATGGGCAGAGGCCAGCCGATTTGCTACAGTTTGGAAGGTGGAGGGATGATGTGCAGGGAAGCTAAACTCTGTCCCTCTCTCCCATATTGCCTGCTACAATTGTTCCAAAAGTCAGGGAGAAGGAGGGGGGGGGACTGCCCCCTCCCCTTGCCCCCTTCTTCCGATAGGGTACAAACTTGGGGATGCCATAAATAAATGCCACCTCTTATGGCTGCCATTGCGTACAAAGGGGAAAAAATAGAGAGAGAGAGGGATGTAGTTTATCTTTATCTTAGGTGTTCATATCATCATATCAGAAGGGATACGAACGGTTTTGGATGATTGCGGCTGGGCGAGCTAGCAATGAGTGCTGCCTTAGTGTTCGGTTGGGACTCTTGCTCAATCGGCAGAAAAGCGAGTCCCAGCCAACTATTGGAGCGGATCCTATGAATGGCTCTTGGAATTTTCGCAAATGGCCCGTTGTCTGGCAAATAAGTGCACTGGTACTAGCTAAGGGAAATAACGAGCTGTTTCCTCTCTTTTAATATTGCTGACTCTACATTTAAGCATTCATTCTTCACAGGAGGAGGGACACGACCAACCAACCTATCTGGTGATGCGAATCGACGAAGAGGACTCACGTGCCATAACTGTGGTCTTGGAGGATCACTCCTTTGAAGTGATGGATATTGTGGCTGGCGCAGCGCTCGTTCTTGCAGTGCACGGAGTCCACGACATTTTTTACCGTCAAAAAGCAAGCCAGTCGCTCGCAATGATTGGGCACTTCATTGGTTTGAAGTACAGAATAAAGTCCGTCCTGGCTTTAGACTTGATCACAAAGTTAAAAACTTGTTAGCCAGAGGACATTTGTGTGCCAGTTTTGCCTTTTTTGCCATGTTCTAAAATTAAAATCTTGGTTTAATAAACTCTATTCTACTGTTTTCTTTCTATGCTGACTTTTCATGAGAACCTATTGCCTGCCTCTGTGCAGGCTCATATGCTATATATTTCATGTCATTTTTGAGCTGCAGTTCCACATTTCTTATGCAACCATCTCCTTGTGAACATGTACATTGCCGCTTTTAGATTGTAGGGCTACTGTTCATTGCAAAATACTTGAGTTGTCCCTAGTTGCATGGAACAACTCATACAATAAGGACAAAAGTATTCCAAATTACCGTGACACCAAGGGAGGTATTGACATTCCATAGAATTATTGCAGAACGAAAAGTACAGTGGTCGCACTTCAACCGGCTAGAAATGTCACTTGCCAGAAGAGTTTTTTTTTTAATTTTTTTTAGCAAGCTTTTTTTCCAACAAAACCAATTTTACACTTCCTTTCTTCTAATTCTGTTTTCAAGTGTTTCCGTTACTTTTCACTGGGTTAACTTACACTCAACAGCACACTAAAAACAATATTTAACAGCATAATTGAGCGGAGTTTGTGTGACCCCTTCCTGAAGAGGTTGCTAATTCTTTTATACAGAGTTTAGGCAACACATCAAAATTGGCTGTACTTACTGTACACAATTCTTTCTGTAGAGTAATTACAGCCCCATTCTAAGTGTTGCCTGAACTCTGTATTTAAGCATTAAGCACGCTCTCCAGGAAGAGCACTTATAACCTTTTTGTGGGTTAAATACAACTCCGTTAGAAGTGTTGCCTAGAGTCTGTATTAGCGTGTTGACTATGCTCTCTAGTGCTAGAGAGCATAGTTAACTCGCTAATACAGACTTCAGGCAACACTTCTAACGGAGTTGTATTTACCCCACAAAAAGGTTATAACTGCTCTTCCTGGAGAGCGTGCTTAACTCTTAAATACAGAGTTCAGGCAACACTTCTAATGGAGTTTTAGTTACTCTCCACAAACAAGTGAATTCAACTCTTCCGGGAGAATATGTTTAACTCTTGCATACAGAGCTTGGGCAACACTTCTAATGGAGTTGTAGTTACTCTAGACGATGGAGTGAGAGTAACTCTTCCTGGCGAGTACTCGTAACTCTTGAATACAGAGTACAGGCAACATTTTATCAGAGTTGTAGTTACTCTACACGAAGGAATGAAGGTAACTCTCCCTGGAGAGCATTCACTCGTCAACATGGAGTTTCGGCAACACTTCTGATAGAGTTATTGTCACTCCACACAAAAGAGTGAAATGTACTCTCATCAAAGAGTTTAGGCAACACTTCTCATGGAGTTATAATTACTCTACACAAAGGAGTGAGGTTAACTCTTGCACTTACACATCAAAAGAGTAACCCTTACTCTCTCAAAAGTATTAGAGTTACTCTCTATAGAAGAGTTAAGTGAACACTTGTATGGAAGAGTTAAACATACACTTGCCTCCGAAGAGTTATAGTTACTCTTTAAAAGAGTGGATTCTGTGACAAGCCACTTACACTCCAAAAAGAGTTAAATCGACACTTTTTTTTTTTAGAGTGTGGAATTGTCTCCAGCCCTCCTCTTTTTTTTTTTGTCATCTCACATGCTCTCTATGATGATTTAATCCCACCCTCTTCAGTTCAGTTCTGCAAGCCTAAGCCAAATTTCCGAAGAAGGCAATCTTCGTTGTTCTGTGCCTTCGCTACGTAAACATAAACATTGCAATGTAAAATCCCGTTGTAAATATAGGAATATGGAATCCGCATAGTTTTCCTGTTGGTATTATCCTGAAGTCTCAGTGACACGGAAATAAAGTCAACTTATCATGATTACATTTATGTATCTTCGAATGACCAAGGAAATACGTCCTTGAGTAAACATAAATACGAGTTATTTTTTTGTTGTTTTTTCAGATGTCTAAACAAGAGGAAGCGAGGAATGAAAACGCGAAGCTGGTAAAAAGAATACAAGAACTGGAGAATCGTCAGGTACAAGCAAACACATTTAAATAGAATAATATTGAAATGTTTCTTCTTTTTTTTAAGCTTCCTTTAATTCGGAAGAACAACTTACTTTGCATGTGGTGAAAGGTGCTTACGAAACTAATTTCAGCTTGAGGCGGATCAATATCGCATTGACCTTGAAGACGACGTTAAGGTCCACAGGACTGTGCTGCAGGTAGGTTCAAAATTTGACTTGGGAACTTCAAACACTCCACAGAATTTGCCATAGAAACTATAAAGCGCACACCCAGCTCGACGCGCGTGAAGCGAAAGCTCGCGCTGCAGAACCCAGGGATCCTGGGTTCGAGCCCCACCCCTGCCCGTTTCGTACTGGATGAGCATCGTACCGGCGTGCGGACGTGTATCACTACTGCGTGGTGCACGTTAAAGACCCCAGGCTAGCGGTTGTACTGCACTGGCTAAATTGCTCAAATACAGCTGACCAACTACACGCTGTATAAATATCCCCACAACCATAATAAAATAGAAACTAAAAATAATAGACACCATGACACCCTGTAGAAATGTTTTTTTTGTTGGTCAAGTTATGCCAAAAATCGTCGTTATAAATTACGTTTACATTCATGTCTTCGTTGGGAAGATGACTTAGCCACACGCAATTATGACGGGTGCAGGCGATACCACCTAAGAAACAATGACGGGGCATTCACCCACACCCTCCATGGCCACCCAAGCATAATTTATTTACTCATTAAGCAACCCCTTTTGAGGTTTCAGCATGATGAACACTTTGCTGAAGCAAAGTAGACAGCAGTCTTATCAAAATGTTAACATGACATAAATGAAGACACCCTTCAAACTTGAATCCCTATGACCTAGAAGAAAAAAAGAAAAGACGTAGGTAGGTAAGGTGCTATCTTCTAAAGCAAAACATCTGAAAACACTCGTTGTGTCCTCAGCTCGGGTGAGGGGCACTTCTTTACATGATTGCCCATCAATGCCCGAATAAAGGGTCGTTCACACTTCAGTTGTGACTAAAGCCAAAGCTACAAGCGCCATACTCCGTTCACCACTTGCAGCTCAGCCTTCAACGCGGGCTGGCTGGCGTCCGCGAAGCTTTGGTTGCGTGTGCCCGCGTGTTCACACTTGTTTGAGCAAGGGCAGAAAGCTCGCGTTGAAGGCGGAGCTTCTAGTCTCAGCTTAAGGGTGAACGAAGTATTCGCGGCGAAAAGTTTTGGCACCGCCGCCTGGTGGAATTTGTTCACAACCCAGAGTGAGGATACTTCAACTGCCTCTGCTGGTGTAAGCATCTGCAATTCCAAGCTTCCATGCACTATGAAAATTAATACATAACCGCGTGGGTAGCATGTGCACTACCCGCAGTGTGGCAGAGCCGTTTATTTGGAGAGTTTGGCCATACATTGGTTTGAATAGGCGAGAATTTCGGGGCCAATTATAGGACTCGAAACAACCTTTAGCAGTGGTCGTGAGCTCTAAATATGTGACACGACTAATTTAAACCGTTTTCGCGGTGCTAGAGTGAAAAGTTATAACTCTCGGTGATTGAAAACTTGGCGCATACGAGGTTTTCGTCAAGTCCGTATTCAACGGCAGAATGAACGAACGTGCGCCCCAGACACAGGGCCGACTTGCTAGAAACAGCGTCTGAGCTGAGACTGGGGGGAAGAAAGCACTGCCAATGCCAGCGCACGAGCTGAGCGGGGCTCATTACACGTCTCGAGACACTCGCGAGCTCCAGCCTTTAGACTGTTTTCTTTCAGTCAATCTCAGCCACGGTGGTCTCAGCTAAGATGCGGTTCTACCAAGCCGGTCCAGAGCAAACTCTCAACGAAACGCCAAGATTGAACGCTTCAATTTCACGCTTTAAATGCAGTTTTCAATACTGTGACGTCGCGGTCTGCTGATTGGTCGACGCTGTGTTGCCCTTCTAGTTTACGCTCTAATCACGGGGGCAGTATTCAGCGCTGGCGGCGTCCTTTGCGCCACCCATAGGCCAAACTCTCCCAATATACGGCTCTGCAGTGTGGAAATCAGACTTGCCCCTAGCGAGCTTCTCACCTCGAATAGCTTGCCCGCGAGATCAGGGCTTTGAAACGTTCTTCTGAAGAACGAGCTCTTGCACTGGAAAGGGACGTCTCAAAGCCAGTCGCGTGGGCTAGTTTGCGTTTCTAGCCTTAACTGCAGTCTCAGCATGAGAGCTTAAGGAGTACAGGCCGTTGCAAGCCTGGCGTTAAAGCCAGTGCCCCTTCCGGGAAAGCACATGTGCCAAGCACATGCACATGCGTCACGCGCATGTGAAAGCACATGCGCGTGACGGCCCCTTTCCCTGGCTCGCGATTGTGAATGCTTTCTCGCTCAAGTAGAGAGATGACCGTGGCCAGGTTCCCTTCTTGCAATCGTCTGAAGCTCTTGTCAGCATCGCTTAGAACGTCTTAGCAGCGTTTCATAACTAGCACGACGCTGTCAGGCGGCGGCGCCAAGACGGGCGCGTTGCACGCTGCAGCGACTGTCGAAGAGCTCCGGCGTGTTGTCCGCTTTCGGCGGGCTAGGGATCCACAAATGATCAGGTCACGTATACGCCTTGCATAGGTGATGCATAGGACTTCAGCAGAAACGAAGTATAGGGGAGATAGGTGGAGGTGGAGCTCTTTCGTTTCTCTGGTCGGGCCATGTGCGCTGGGGCCTCGGTGCTGCTTTGGCTGGACGAACTCGGGACCGCTCCATGGAGCGCTCTCGGTCCTGGTTGGATTGACCGGGGTGATATATGGCATAACACCCTCTGAACTTCGACGATTCTTCTACACACATGGTACATTAACTTAAGGGCCGATTGATAATTATCCCTCTATCTCCTCTAGACAACTATACCCCCTTCATTGGTGATATACCATATACCTTCCGTCGTCCGTTCAGCTTTTATTCGTTTTATACTATGATAAAAGCTATATATGCACAGACACAATGGTAGTATGAAGTTATGCTATGTATGACGGATTGTGTTAGAATAATTCGCCTTGAATATACTCGGTTGCTTTTTCGCGTTCAATTCCAGATCGCTCCCTGGCCCCACCCCCTCCCCTTTGCTCTCATTCACACATACACAAACACACACACATACACCGGGTCGCGTGGATGGTTGAGCGTGTTGGTTAGTAATTTACGATAAGGAAAGAGGGATAGTTAAGACAAACAGACAAGACAGTGACCAATATATTCAGCAAAAAGCAAAAACTCTTGGCTGCCACAAAGTCTTTCTTGGGTCGTCTTTCCCGGTTTTTTTTCCAGCTTATATAACCCAATCTATTTCAATTAAATATTGAAACTTTTGGTGATGGCGCGGTGATAAAGTATGACATATGTTTACGTAGCTTCTCTTTTTTTCTTTCTCACCAGAACCTAGAAGATAAAGTCGGACGCATCTCAAGGGAAGCAGTCACCCGAAGGAGAGTGGACACGCTCAACGAACGAGTCGAAACGTACCTTGGTCCTTTGGAACGGCTGCTGAACGGCCTGCGTGATGTGGACAAAGAATGAATGGCACTCCCCCAGTTGTCTCCGATTTTGCCTGTATCGAACTGCTGTCTTTCGAGCACTCTATCACCAACAATTCTGTCGACTGCATGCGAGTGGCCAGAATGCTATGATTATACTTGTAGCTTTCAAAAGGTCACGTTTTCAGGCGTTAAATAAAATGAGTAGTTTCCAGATATATACATTCTCCGTGCTTCATGACGTGGCTTGCGGATTCTTATTTTGTTCAGAAATCCGGAGTATTTTTTGTGAAGACAACCTTAAAGATGTTTTTTTTTTTTTTTTGTGAATTTGCTATCTTCGGGTTAGCACGGTAAACATTACTGAATTTTTTTTATATCCCACCCTATTTAAGACAACGGTATACATAGCGTTTACTACATGATTGCCTCTTTTCATGTGACTGCAAAATATAAGTTTTAAACTGCGTAAGGTTAGTTCTGAATTTGTCCGAAACTCATTAAGGGCATTAGATTTTTATAGAAAACTATAGACAATTCCCATCATTGCCATCTCCAAACCGCCATATTTTTTTGCTTGGCCGTGGAACGCATTCTAAGAATGTGGCGATTTTTTTTCTTTGGAATTTAAGTGGGTGCGCATGTCACATTCGATGTGCCGCAATTCTGATATTGCTTGAAATATATAGGTTCTCTCATCTTATAATTAACTCGAAGTCGTAGTGTGAATACGACTAGCCAACAGTATGTTGTCCACGTCATTATCTTAGTGACATGTCATTACACTACGACTGCGTAAACTAGGAAATCAGGTGCGAGCCTGATACCAGGCGCCCGTCGACAAATTGGTTGAACGCGTGTGCCAGCCAGTCTTGGCGGTGACGCGTTAGCTGTAAAGGCGTTACCGGTAACGGTTTGATTTCCTTTAACGTAGTAACTTACAGGTTAAATTTTTTATGAACAGTAACGGATAAATAACTTGCGTTACCGAATTCAAGGAATTGGTATCGGTGTTACGTAACTAATATCTCCCCCTCCCCCCTCCAAAAAAAAAAAGCCATTACATTTGAAAACGTTTTTGTGTTTCTAAGTGCCAAGTTATAAGAATTCTGGCGTATTTACCTTTTTATTTCGCGCTATTTTTTCCGTGCATTCAGGTGGAACCTTGAACAAGAAAGGGTAATTATATACAATTCTTCATGAACATCAAGGCCTGTTCACACATAATTAGCAGCAAGATGTTTTGGTGGCGCCCTCGTTTGGTTACCTTTCGTGACGTCATTACCTTGCGAACTACAAGTTCGATGGTGTTTGTAGTTAGCATGGTTGAAGCCTGAAATCATTGCGCTCCGAAACCAACACTGCCAACACCGCCAAAATTAAAGTTCTTCCATTCCTCTTATTTCCGTCAATGAGAAATCTTTTGCTGACGTCAAAGTCATCATTCGGTCAATCGTGGAAGACAGACCACAGCGACGCTTTCAGTCACGCACGTCGCCAATAAGCACAGCGCGGACTGCGCTAAACGCGTGATAATGGGAGCGTTCACCAGATTTTTATCGCACCATCAAAATGGTTCCTCATAGCAGACGATGAGTAGCCGACGGCACGTGCTACTACTACTAAGAGCGCTATTGGCGAGGTGCGCGATCGAAAGCGTCGCTGTGATCGGCCTCCCACTATTGGCGGGATGCGAAGTATGACGTCAGCAAAGGATTTCTTCGACGAAAATTAGAGGAATTGAAGAACGTTCATTTTGTCGGTGTTGGCAGTGTTGGTTTCAGAACGCTATGGATTTCAAGCTCCCACCATGCTCATTACAAACACCATTGAACTTGTAGTTCGCAAGGTGATGACGTCACGAGACGTAAACATACGAGGGCGCCACCAAAACCTCTCGCCGCTAAAATCAGCGTTCCACTGGATGTGGAAACCGGCCTTTCTTGAAATACGGAGATTAGGAATACTTCTAACGTCAAGAGTAAAAAGTTTAAATTCAGAGATAAAAATGACCACGAAAAGTAAACTCGCCAACTTTAGCACAACCTAGGTTTATAACGCGTTCCGTTTATTTGCAAGTTCCGAATAACGTATTTCTTTATTTTTCTTCGGTAAAGCGCCTACGACACTAGTGCCAGCAGAACTTTTACTCAGCGCTGATGTCCGATTTGTGCCGGCACTCCGTCGTGGTGTGATGACGTCACACTACGTTCACCGTCCTTTCTAGACTGACTCTGTTCTGTTTAGAAAAGCCGTGCAATAAAAAAACAGTGCAATGAAAAAACATTTTTCAAGCTTATTTTGGTCTTCTATTTGTTTTTAATAATTTTGCCATGAAGAATGTTTTTCGCGAAATATTTGCTTTATTAGACGCAATCTAGGTCGAGGTCATGCAAGTCATGGCGGCCGCTCTAAGTCCTGCCCACAAATCAGTGACCCCACACATTACTACTGGACAGACCATGCTTTTTGACCGAGCACTCTCACAACGTTTACAAGCCTAGTGTCTCCCCTTCGGGACATCCGATTCGTCTGCTCTGGCGTCGGATACTGCCCGCTAGTCGTGTGAGCAGACGCGCGGCGGCCTCCAGCATCGTTTGCTATTTCACCACCGTCTATCGTCGTCTGCAATGCCCGTAATACGCGGACACGAAAGCTGAGCTTCGGCGTGCGTTTTGGCCTCCATCCGTCTGTTATTCCGCCCCCGTCTAAAAGACTTCTGCAACTTCCAGAAGACTCGACCACGAAAGCGCCGTTCTAGCGTTTCATCGTGCACGAGCCAAGATTCAATGCGGAGAGCAAGTCGCCTGCTTCTTGCGCAGGTGTTGCGGTGAGGTCAGAACGACGCTGAGCTCTGATTGGCTTTCAAAGGGAGGATAGTGGGTAGACCTCAATGCTAGATGCCTTGAGGTCTACCCACTATTGTTTCAAACAGCCAATAAAAGCTAGGCATTCTGACATCATCTCAACCCCTGTGCAAGAAGCAGAGGAACTTGCGCTCCAGATACAAGCGTATGTCAGCGTCTATCGACGTGGAGTAATAAGCAACCGAAAGGACTAAAAACAACAACAAAGTAAATATGCAGTCCTTCCAGCTTTATTGTTCTTGTGTGTGTGTGTGTGTGTGTGTGCGTGTGTGTGTGTGTTTTTTCTTGCCTTGCATTCTTGAGCAAGGTGGGTATGACGCACATATAAAACCCGACGTAAAAATATTCGCTTTGGTAGGCCAGGTGCGCTGCAAAACTTGAGATCTACTTGCTTTCCGATGGGAAATGACTGCAACATAAACAAACTAACGCCCGATATCCTCTAGCCAAAGTGCTCGAAAATTCTCACCCGTGAAGGTAGGTATCTTCTCGGTATTGAACCATGGTTACAATCACAACGGTTGCTCAATACCCAGAGGAGCGGGGCCGTTTTTACGGGAACCAACATCTTCAATTATCATCATCACGGTCGAAGAAAGAAATCAAGCCAGATAGATGCAAGTAGTTGATCTGGGACGCTAGGCTTAGACAAGTCCCGCTACGAAAACAAGCATCCGTAGCACTTGAACTTGCGTCAGTCGTTTGTTGCAAACTACTTCGGTTGAGGAGATCTTCCTCTAAACATCTCCGTGAACTTAAAACCACTCGCACTCACAAAAATTGACGAGCTCAGCGAGCTTCGCTTGTTCAGCCCTCTGGAGACGCCGGCAGTCACGTTTGTTAACGTTCCAAATAAAAGCTGGAGAAGTAATCTCAGAATACATTTGAAAACAACAATGACTATCTTGATTATTTGCTTGTCAAGCATTGAAGAAGAGTCGATTAAAATACTATTACGGCACGGAGATACAAATTTATAACCAACCTTTACACGTCAATCAGCTCTCCAGCCAATGAGAGATGCAAGTAGTTTGTAAGCACGAGGCGGGGATTATTGGGCTGCGACCTCCTCCTTCTGCACCTGAATTGCGTCTAACAGGAAAAATATTGAGCGAAAAATCTCTTTTTTTTTGTGGAAAAATTGTTTTAAAAAAAGACATGCCCCATTTTTTGCCCCTTAAATCCTTTTTTTTTTTTTCTGCTGGCCATTTAATGTGAAACCGAGCGTAAGCGGTGTTTTCTTAGCTTACTAACGTGCAGTGAAGGTATCGCCGAAGTTTCAACAAATCCGTCAAAGGAGCATGCGTGTCACACTATGCTTGTTTTACATCCTGGAGGTTGGTTATACAAAATGAGTCAAAGAAATCTTTAGCCCTTTAATGGCACCGGATAAATCGGTGGTCTAAAGCCGGGGTCACACTTCTCATACACCATACAAACGACAGTCTGCAAACACAAGTCGACGCAATATCCGTGGTCCGAATGCCCCGCGCCAAACGTTTTTCCCTGAACTCATTAATTGCCATGCGGCATTCGAAGTACTGATATCGCGGTGACTCGCGTTCGAATCTGTTCGGAGAATGTGTTTTGTATGATGTATAAGCAGTGTGACCTCAGATGAACATATCGTGCCTACACTTTGTGAAAAGAGTGCCAAAGATTGTTCCTTTTTAACGATGAACTTACATGAGTAAAGAATACAAAGTAACGAAGTAGATTACCCGACCTTGGGCCTCCGTCTGCAAACAAAATACGTCTTATTGGCATAACAGCAGACTGATAGTGGCAAGTAAGAGCAGGGGCGTGGTGGGGGAGGTCTGTAAAATATGACGTGACGGGACAAGCGTTGCACAAATTTGTTTTGTTGACTTAATTTCTGCCATGTCACCAAAATTTAAACATTGCTACATCTCTTTTCGAAACTACTGCTGTTTGGCGTTCTTTCCATTAGAAAGGGGACGTCGGAAGAGCTTAGGAGAGCACTCGCCGTCCCCCCCCCCCCCCCCTTTCCCCACTTTTCAATCTGTGCATGGTCAAAGCCCGCTCAAAAACACACACACAAAAAAAAAATCATGAATCGCGCTCCTTTTCGAACGCTCTCTTTGCGATTTGATGTAGCTTTAATCTTTCCATAGTTGTGTGATGCCAGTTCCGACGGATACGATTATCACGTTGCCATGGGCGACGGCACCCTGCTGCGAGAATGCCGCGGCTATCTGAACGAGGAACCGGGATACGCCTGGCGAACCGAACGAGTGCGTCGGACTTTGGTTGCTCTCGTCGCGCATCGCAAACAAGATGGCGGACAGGACTCCGCAAGCCGAGTAAGCTGCTGCCTTTTTTGTACTACACA